CATAAGGCAAATGCTAACATCCATAAAAAGGGAAATCAACAGTAACACAATAATAATAGGGGACTTTAACACTCCACTCTCACCAATGGACAGATCATCCACAATGAAAATAAATAAGGAGACACAAGCTTTAAATGACACATTAGACAAGATGGACTTAATTGATATTTAGAGGACATACCATCCAAACACAACAGAATACACTTTCTTCTCAAGTGCTCATGGAACATTCTCCAGGATAGATCATATCATGGGTCACAAATCAAGCCTTGGTAATTTTAAGAAAATTGAAATCATATCAAGTTATCTTTTCTGACCACAACGCTGTGAGACTAGATATCAATTACAGGGAAGAAAAGCTGTAAAAAATACAAACACATGGAGGCTAAACAATATACTACTAAATAACCAAGACATCACTGAGGAAATTAAAAAATACCGAGAAACAGATGACAATAAACACATGATGACCCAAAACCTATGGGATGCAGCAAAAGCAGTTCTAAGAGGGAAGTGTATAGCAATACAATCCTACCTCAAGAAACAAGAAACATCCCAAATAAACAACCTAACCTTGCACCTAAAGCAACTAGAGAAAGAAGAACAAAAAACCCCCAAAGTTAGCAGAAGGAAAGAAATCATAAAGATCAGATCAGAAATAAATGAAAAACAAATGAAGGAAACAGTAGCAAAGATCAATAAAACTAAAAGCTGGTTCTTTGAGAAGATAAACAAAATCGATAAACTATTAGCCAGGCTCATTAAGAAAAAAAGGGAGAAGACTCAAATCAATAGAATTAGAAATGAAAAAGAAGTAACAACTGACACTGCAGAAATACAAAGGATCATGAGAGATTACTACAAGCAACTCTATGCGAATAAAATGGACAACCTGGAAGAAATGGACAAATTCTTAGAAAACCACAATCTTCCGAGACTGAACCAGGAACAAACAGAAAATAAAAACAGACCAATCACAAGCACTGAAATTGAGACTGTGATTAAAAATCTTCCAACAAACAAAAGCCCAGGACCAGGTGGCTTCACAGGTGAATGCTATCAAACACTTAGAGAAGAGCTAACACCTATCCTTTTCAAACACTTCCAAAATATAGCAGAGGGGGGAACATTCCCAAACTCATTCTATGAGGCCACCATCACCCTGATACCAAAACCAGACAAAGATGTCACAAAAAAAGAAAACTACAGGCCAATATCACTGATGAATATAGATGCAAAAATCCTCAACAAAATACTAGCCAACAGAATCCAACCGCACATTAAAAGGATCATACACCATGATCAAGTGGGGTTTATCCCAGGAATGCAAGGATTCTTCAATATACCAAATCAATCAATGTGATACACCATATTAACAAACTGAAGGATAAAAATCATATGATAATCTCAATAGAAGCAGAAAAAGCTTTTGACAGAATTCAGCACCCATTTATGATAAAAACTCTCCAGAAAGTGGGCATAGAGGGAACCTACCTCAACATAATAAAGGCCATATATGACAAACCCACAGCCAACATCGTTCTCAGTGGTGATAAACTGAAACCATTTCCTCTAAGATCAGGAGCAAGACAAGGATGTCCACTCTCACCACTGTTATTCAACATGGTTTTGGAAGTTTTAGCCACAGCAATCAGAGAAGAAAAAGAAATAAAAGGAATCCAAATTGGAAAAGAAGAAGTAAAACTGTCACTGTTTGCAGATGACATGATATTATACATAGAGAATCCTAAAGATGCTACCAGAACACTACTAGAGCTAATCAACGAATTTGGTAAAGTAGCAGGATACAAAATTATTGCACACATCTCTTGCATTCCTATACACTAACGATGAAAAATCTGCAAGAAATTAGGGAAACACTCCCATTTACCATTACAACAAAAAGAATAAAATATCTAGGAATAAACCTACCTAAGGAGACAAAAGACCTGTATGCAGAAAACTACAAGACACTGATAAAAGAAATTAAAGACAATACAGACAGATAGAGAGATATACCATGTTCTTGGATTGGAAGAATCAGCATTGTGAAAATGACTATACTACCCAAAGTGATCTACAGATTCAATGCAATCCCTATCAAACTACCAATGGCATTTTTCACAGAACTAGAACAAAAAACTTCACAATTTGTATGGCAACACAAAACAGCCCGATTAGCCAAAGCAATCTTGAGGGGAAAAAAACGGAGCTGGAGGAATCAGGCTCCCGGACTTCAGACTATACTACAAACCTACAGTAATCAAGACAGTATGGTACTGCAACAAAACAGAAATACAGATCAATGAACAGGATAGAAAGCCCAGAGATAAATCCATGCACATATGGGTCTTATCGTTGATAAAGGAGGCAAGAACATACAATGGAGAAAAGACAGCCTCTTCAATAAGTGGTGCTGGGAAAACTGGACAGTTACATGTAAAAGAATGAAATTAGAACACTTCCTAACACCATACACAGAAATAAACTCAAAATGGATTAAAGACCTAAATGTAGGGCTAGACACCATCAAACTCTTAGAGGAAAACATAGGCAGAACACTCTATGACATAAATCACAGTAAGATCCTTTTTGACCCACCTCCTAGAGTAATGGAAATAAAAACAATAAACAAATGGGACCTAATGAAACTTAAAAGCTTTTGCACAGCAAAGGAAACCATAAACAAGACAAAAAGACAACCCTCACAATGGGAGAAAATATTTGCAAACAAAGCAACTGACAAAGGATTAATCTCTAAAATGTACAAGCAGCTCAATATCAAAAAAACAAACAACCCAATCCAGAAATGGGCAAAAGACCTAAGTAGACATTTCTGCATAGAAGATATACAGATTGCCAACAAACACATGAAAAGAGGCTCAACATCACTAATCATTAGAGAAATGCAAATCAAAACTACAGTGAGGTATCACCTCATAGGGGTCAGAATGGCCATCATGAAAAGATCTACAAACAATAAATGCTGGCGAGGGTGTGGAGAAAAGGGAGCCCTCTTGCACTGTTGGTGGGAATGTAAATTGATACAGTCACGGAGAACAGTATGAAGGTTCTTTAAAAAACTAAAAGTAGAACTACCGTATGACCCAGCAATCCCACTACTGGGCATGTACCCTGAGAAAACCATAATTCAAAAAGAGACATGTACCACAGTGTTCATTGCAGCACTATTTACAATAGCCGGGACATGGAAGCAACCTAAGTGTCCATCAACAGATGAATGGATAAAGAAGATGTGGCACATATATACAATGGAATATTACTCAGCCATAAAAAGAAACGAAATTGAACTAGTTGTAGTGAGTTGGAAGGACTTAGAGTCTGTCATACGGAGTGAAGTAATTCAAAAAGAGAAAAACAAATACCATATGCTAACATGTATATATGGAATCTAAAAAAAAAAAAGGTTCTGATGAACCTAGGGGCAGGACAGGAATAAAGATGCAGACATAACCAATGGAGTTGAGGACATGGGGAGGGGGGCGGGTAACCTGGGACGAAGTGAGAGAGTAGCATTGACATATATACACTACCAAATGTGAAATAGATAGCTAGTGGGAAGCAGCTGCATCGCACAGGGAGATCAGCTCGGTGCTTTGTGACCACCTAGAGGGGTGAGACAGGGAGCGTGGGAAGGAGATGCAAGAGGGAGGGGATATGGTGATATATGTATACATATAGCTGATTCACTTTTGTTACACAGCAGAAACTAACAGGACATTGTGAAGCAATTACACTCCAATAAAGATGTTAAAGAAAAAAAAAAGTCAGGCAAAAGGAGTAAATGATTGTGACATGATCAGAAATCCTGCCATGCTGGATTACTTTAGATATAATTTACTGTTAGTCTGCTTGTGAAGTTTCATGCCTGGAACTGAACTGAGGTTTTTGTGGTCTGAAGAGCCCTTAGTGGGGCATAGTGACCAGTTCTGGCTTCTGGATATTATCTTTGCTATCATTTTGATAATTTTACTCTACCCAGTTTTGTTTAAGAAAAAAAGAAGTTTAAAAAAAAAACTTTCAGACTTCCCTGGTGGCGCACTGGTTGAGAGTCTGCCTGCCAATGCAGGGAACACGGGTTCGAGCCCTGGTCTGGTCTGGGAGGAGCAACTAGGCCCACGAGTCACAGCTACTGAGCCTGCGCATCTGGGGCCTGTGCTCCGCAACAAGAGAGGCCGCGACAGTGAGAGGCCCGCACACCGCGATGAAGAGTGGCCCCCGCTTGCCACAACTAGAGAAAGCCCTCGCACAGAAACGAAGACCCAGCACAGCCAAAAATAAATAATTTTTTAAAAAAAAAGTTTAGTTTTTTGAATATAATTGTTCTTTTTTAATCAATTTATTTTTTTATTTTTTGGCTGCATTGGGTCTTCGTTGCTGTGCGTGGGCTTTTTCTAGTTGCGGCGAGCTGCGGCTATTCTTCGTTGCGGTGCATGGGCTTCTCATTGCGGTGGCTTCTCTTTGTCGTGGAGCATGGGCTCTAGGCACTCTTACTTTAGTAGTTGTGGCACGCGGGCTCAGTAGTTGTGGCGCACGGGCTTAGTTGCTCCGCAGCATGTGAGATATTCCCAGACTAGGGATCGAACCGTGTCCTTTGCATTGGCAGGAGGATTCTTAACCCCTGTTCCACCAGGGAAGTCCTGAGTATAACTGTTTTTAGTGTTTAATAAATAAAGTAATTATATAGCACTTTTTAGTACTTAGCATGTACCATATACTGTTATACAAATATTAATTTCTAAATATTATGTACAACTATTAAAGTGTTCTCTATGAATTATAGAGATTTGTTAAGTTAGCGTTACATTTCTTTTAGCATAAGCATCTTCCCTGATATTACTGTGTAATCTTAACTTTGAGTAATAGTCATAAATTCATCAAATATTAACTGCATCAAATTATATTCATAAGTAAAGTAGAAATTGAAATTAACTTAAAAATTTTAAACGTTATGTTTTTTTGTTTGTTTTTAATTTCAGCTGTACCAACAGGGACGCTTATGTCAACTGGGCAGTGAATTTTGTGAATTGGAAGTTTTTGCTAAAGTATTGAGAGCTTTGGATAAAAGGTAAACTCATTTTGTAACAATTGTGGTAAACTATACATATCTGAATTTTACCACTGTGACCATATCTTAAGCGTACAGTTCAGTAGCAGTAAGTACATTCGTACTGTTTTGAAACCATCAGTACCACCCTTGCTTTTTGTGTTCAAGAAAGACTGAATTCATCTACCCCGTTCTGGCTATTATGTAGTAGGAGTTATATGTGGATGTAGGTGACATGGCCTTTGATTGTCCTCGCTGTTCTCTTTAGCATTCTTCCCTAAATTTGCTTGAAATGCCATTTCTTTTTCCTAACCTACATTTCTGGGAAAATAAGAATATAGTTTTACAGAATATTGTTAATCTCTAATATGAATGTTGCCAAGTTAAGTAAATACTTGTTAGAATGCGTAGTATATGTCAAGTACTATTCTAGATGCCGGGGTTACAGCAGTGAATAAGTTTTACAAGGTCTCTTCCTCATGGAGTTTGTATTTTAGAAAGAGAAGATAAAATAATCAACAAGTAACATGTTAACAAATTAACATGATTTCATTGTTTAGGGATACCTTTGGATGTGACCTGTGTACTAAGCCTAAGAGAAATTTCTTGGTTAGTTGACTAATTAAAAATTAATCTGTTAAAAAATAATGGATGAGAGTTTCATTTTGGGACAAGAAGGCCATAGAAAAACTTTAAAAAAAATTCTTTACTCTTGGAAAAGGTTAGCTTTCTAGGATTTGAATTTCTCTGTGCAGTTCTAAAGATGGCCATTATAAAGATTTAGTGGACTACCTCTCTTTCATCTCTCAGGTTATCTTTTTACCAAGTCCAGATCCCTTGGTAAGTGTTTAATATATTTGTGAAACTAAACGCATGTAGTTTGACTTTTCTTCCCCCTTTATGCAAAGCAGTGACTTGGTTATTTACAATTTTGTTTAAAGCAGTTTTTTTATTGAGATAATTCACATACCATAAATTCATCATTTTAAACTGTACAATTCATTAGTTTTTAGTATATTCACAAATGTTTGCAACTATCACCACTATCTAATTCTAGAATACTTTCATCATCCCCAAAAGAAACCCTGTACCCATTAACAGTCACTCCCTATTTCCCCTTACCCCTGGTCTCTAGCCTACCATTAATCTACTCTCTGTTTCTGAGTTTATCTGCTCTAGACATTTCATATAAATGGAACTATACAGTATGTGGTCTTTTGTGACTGGATTCTACCTATAATGTTTTCAAGGTTCATTCATGGCTGTTGTTTGTATCAGTTTTCCATTGTGTGGATGTACTATGTTTTGGTTATCTAGTCATCTGTTGATGGACATTTGGGTTGTTTCTACCTTTTGGCCATTATGAATAATGCTGCTATGAATGCTCATGGACAAGATTCTGTGTGGATGTATGTTTTCAGTTCTCTTGTATGTATATATAACGAGGGTAAACCTACGTTTAACTTTCTGAGTAACTCCTAAATTGTTTCCCACAGCAGCTGCACCGTTTTATTGGGTTGACCAAAAAAGTGCCTTTGGTTTTTAAGTAAAGGTAAAAGACACATTTTTCATTTTCACCAAAAACTTTATTAAACAACATATTCACCATTTTGTTCCACTATCTTCTGCCATTTTTCAGGCAACTTTATAATTCCATATTCTCAAAACTTTTTATCTTTTTGAGCAAAGAACTGTTCCAGGTGCCTTTTACTGTCTCCCAGGGAATTGAAAGTTTTTCCATTAAGAGAATTTTGTAAAGACTGAAATAAATGGAAATCAGAAGGTGCAATGTCTGGTGAATACAGCGGACGAATCAGAACTTCCCAGCCAAGCTGTAACAGTTTTTGCCTAGTCATCAAAGAAACATGCGGTCTTGCATTATCCTGATAGAAGATTACGTGTTTTCTGTTGACTAGTTCTGGACGCTTTTCATTGAGTGCTGCTTTCAGTTGTTCTAACTGGGAGCAGTACTTGTTGGAATTAATTGTTTAGTTTTCCGGAAGGAGCTCATAATAGAGGACTCGCTTTCAATCCCACCATATACACAATATCACCTTCCTTGGGTGAAGACCGGGCTTTGGTTTGGTTGGTGGTGGTTCATTTTGCTTGCCCCGTGATCTGTTCCATTCCACGTTATTGTACAGTATCCACATTTCATCACCCGTCACAATTTGTTTTAAAAATGGAACGTTTTCATTACATTTAAGTAGAGAATCCATGCAGAAATACAGTCAAGAAGGTTTTTTTTCTTAACTGATGTGGAACCCAAACATCAAAGCAATGAACATAACATAACCAAGCTGGTGCAAATGATTTTCAACCCTTGATTTGGATGTTTTGAGTATGTTAGCTATCTCCTGCACCATATAACGTTGATTGTTCTCAGTCAATGTCTCGATTTGATTGCTTTCAGCTTCAACTGGTCTACCTAACAGTGGAACATCATCCAGTGAGAAATCTCCAGCACGAAACTTCGCAAACCACTTTTGACATGTTCAATCAGTCACAGCACCTTTTCCATATACTGCACAAATATTTTTTTGTGTTTCAGTTGCGTTTTTACTTTTCTTGAAATAATAAAGCATAATATGCTGAAAATGTTGCTTTTTCTCTTCCATCTTAAATATTAAAATGGCTACACAAAAATTCACCAATTTTGATAAGTATTTTTTTAAGTGCACGCTGATATGACAGCTGTCACATACAGTCTAACAAAATTGTTTTCAATGAAGCTAAAGACAACTAAGTGCTGCTAGAGCCATCTTTCGGAAAAAACCAAATGAACCTTTGGCCAACCCAATATGTCCCTATTACCAACGTATGAGGGTTCCAGTTTTTCCATATCCTTGCCATCAACTGTTTTTTAAAAAGTAGTATTATAGCCATCCTAGATAGTGTGAAGTCGTATCGCATTGTGAGTTTGATTTGCATTTCCCTAATCACTAATGATATTGAGCATCTTTTCTTGTGCTTATTGGCCTTTGTATATTTTCTTTGGAGGAATCTCTGTTCAAGTCTATTGCCCATTTTATAATTGGGTCATTGTTGAATTACAAGACAATTTGGTTTTTAAAATTGATGTTAGAAGTTGTTTTCATCCTTCACTGTCATCAGTTTACATATACAGAATCACTCAGTGATCCACTGAGTAAAAGATACTAGGCTAAATTGTGAATTATTATGACCTCATAATTCATAAGACAAACAGTTGATTTTTATCTTATTCCATCTTTGAAAATAATGGTACTGTTATTTCAGAAGAGCAAGTTAGCACTTTCTTTTTTTTTCTTTTTAGATTACAAGTTTTATTTTTGAATCCCCGTTGAAATAAATATGTTAATCTTTGGAAAATATTTGGTTATATGCCACTAAAATTGTGCCTAGAGCCCCCAGTGATAGTCATGCCCCATTCTGGAAAACACTACCATAGGGAATAACTGGAGGGAGGTAGGATGAGGCCACTGTTTGTTGGGCAAAGGTCATCTGTGTCCCAGGTCAGCTGCCTGCTGCTATTCATAATTCTCTAGCCCCAGACCTACCAGCATATTTGATCTTATCTTTCCTGGCTGGCAACACTTTGGTGGCTGCCTATTCTCTTCTAGATAGAAGAGTAAATGCCTTAACATAACCTACAAGGTCCTTGGGGATCCTGGGATAGGCCTGCCGTGGCCCCATCAGGCTGGTGAAGAGAGGGAGACAGGAGACAGGGAGGATCTCCTGGCGGAAGTGACATTTGAGCTGAAGTCTAACCGATTTAGGGGAGAGAACTAGGTGATGGTGGTGAAAAGCTTTTTTAGGTAGAAGGAACAGCATGTGCAAATTTCCTGAGGCAGGAAGGAACAATGTGCATGAAAGTTAGCACTTTCTAAAAGGACAAAATATGTTACCTTTATAAAAACAAAAATGACCTTTTCCTTCTCTTTCAGACATTTGCTTCATCATTGTTTCCAGGCTTTGATGGATCATGGTGTGAAAGTTGCTTCAGTCTTAGCCTACTCATTCAGTAGACGGTGCTCTTACATAGCGGAATCAGATGCTGCAGTAAAGGAAAAAGCCATTCAGGTTGGCTTTGTTTTAGGTAAGTAATGGTAAAACAGAGGGGTGTTTTGTCCTGTGACATGACTCAGAACTAAGCCTGCTGGCATTAAAGGATTCTCACAGGACATTCCCAAAGTCAACGTGGGAGGTTATGAGAGGAACTAGATGTGATATATTGAACATTAACTTTGTGCTGAGTACTGTACTATGTATCTAAATGCTGTCTTTCGAGAAAATCCTCATGACATTCCACTGATGTGAAGGTATTAATAGAGTTTTAGAAATGAGGAAACAGACTCAGAAAAGTTGAGTAACTTGCTCAAGTCACATAGTAATGGAGCTAAGTTTAGAATCCTGTGGCGCTGTGATTCCAAACCACTTACGTTTCTACCATGTCAAGCTGCTACCAACCTCTCTCACCAGCTTACTGTGTGTTGTGACGTGGGACTTAATCCTTTTGGGACCTCAGTTTTCCCCTCTCTAAAATGAGGGTAAATCTCCATTTCCTCATGGGTATGAGAATACTAAAAACATGAATGGAGAAGGATTCTGAAAAGGCTTTGTATGCTATACACGTAGAAAGATATCGTTTAATGTTGCATGACATTTTAGTATGGCTTTTACAAATCTACATAGATAAGTATGTCTCAGGCAATTATTTATTCAAGTTATTGCTACCTTTTTACTTTGTTTGTGGAAAAATTTTTATTTTGAAATGATTGTAGATTTACAGACAATATCAAAACCAGGAAATTGATACTGGTTTAATACTGTTACCTAGACTATAGACCTTATTTAACTTTCATTGGTTTTTACATATACTCATTTGTGTGTGTGTGTTTTATTTAAATGTAGTTGACATACAGTATTATGTTGGTTTCAGGTGTACTACATAGTGATTTGGAATTTGCATACTTTATGAAATGATTGCCACGACAAGTATAGTCCCTGTACAAAGTTATTACAATATTATTGACCATGTTCCTTAGGCTGTATATTACATTCCCATGGCTTATTTATTTTCTAACTGGAGGCTCAGACCTCTTAATCCCCTTCACCTATTTCACCCCACACCCCACCTCCTTTCTCTGGCAACCAACTGTTTGGTCTCTGTATCTGCGAGTCTATTTTCATTTTGTTTTGTTTGTTTGTTTTGATTTTTAGAGTCTACGTATAAGTGAGATCATATGGTATTTGTCTTTCTCTGTCTGACTTATTTCACTTAGCATTATACCCTCTAGATCCATCTGTGTTGTCACAAGATTTCTTTTTTTTTTTATGTTTAATTTTTGTGGTTGGGTAATATTCCACCGTTGTGTGTGTAAATATATCTCACGCCTTCTTTATCCGTTCATTCATCTGTTGATGGACATTTAGGTTGCTTACATATCTTGGCTATTATAAATAATGCTTCACTGAACACTGAGGTGCATATGTCTTTTATGAGTTAGTGTTTTTGCCGTTTTTGGATAAATACCCAGAAGTGAAATTGCTAGATCATGTGGCAGTTCTATATTAAATGTTTTGAGCAACCTCCACACGGTTCTCCATAGTGGCTGTGCCAATTTACAGCCCCACCAGCAGTGCAGGAGGGTTCCCTTGTCTCCACACCCTCGCGAACACTCGTTATTTGTTGTTTTCTGGTGATGACAGCCGCCTGACAGGTGTGAGGTGGTATCTCATTGTGGTTTTGATTTGCATTTCCCTGATTAGTGATGTGGAGCATCTTTTCATGTATCTGTTGGCCATCTGTATGTCTTTTTTGGAAAAATGTCTATTCAGATCCTCTGCCCATTTTTTTATTTTATAAATTTGTTTATTTTATTTATTTATTTTTGGCTGCATTGGGTCTTTGTTGCTGCACGCAGGCTTTCTCTAGTTGCGGGGAGTGGGGGGCTACTCTTTGTTGCGGTGCGCAGGCTTCTCATTGTGGTAGCTCCTCTCGTTGCAGAGCACAGGCTCTAGGCGCGAGGGTTTCAGTAGTTGCAGTGCACGGGCTTAGTCGCTCCGCAGCATGTAGGATCTTCCCGGACCAGGGCTCAAACCCGTGTCCCGTGCATTGGCAGGTGGATTCTTAACCACTGCGCCACCAGGGAAGCTCTACCTTTCATTTTTAACTTCTCACATTAATGTGTGTGTGTGTGCATGTTTTCTCTCTCTCTCTCTCTTTGGCACGTGCACATTTACTTTCTTTGCCAAGTTTTCATGATCATTTCCTTCAGTATTAGGAAAAAAATTTTTTTTTGTAGTGGTCATAGAGAGTTTGCTTGGAGGAACTTAAGAACATTCTTTTCTGAAAACAACCCTCAGCATTTATCCTTTGATAGTCCTGTGGAATATAAATTGCAACAAAGAATTGTGACTAAAGAATGTCTCTTAATAGAGTGTTCGTGACCTAGATGAATGTTAATATTGACATCCACTTAGTCCTAGGTAGTCATGTAAAAATCTATGTGGGAGATATTTAGTATCAAGGAAGATGAAAGGCAGGAAGGCTAATGTTCACTGAGGTCCTCTGTTGTCTCTTCACTTGTACCAGTCTGGCCACTGTAAGGAGCCAGATTGAACAAGTATCCTGGAGTTAGAACCAAGTCCTAACAGATTCAGTTATATTATCAGTCTTGATCCTAAAATTACCAAAACAGTGAAAACACTTCATACCAGAAGTATACATGATGGAAACTTTTAAAAAATGACAGCTTTATTGAGTTATAATTCACATACCGTACAGTGCACCCATTTAAAGTATATAATTTAAAGGTCTTTAGTATTTTCACAGCGTTCAGTCCCTGGTCGGGGAACTAAGATCCCACAGGCTGCATGGCGTGGCCAAAAGAAAAAAAAAAAAAAAGAAGCTTGAGGAGGTACCTCGCAGAGCTGGGATGTTGCTTGGCTGGTACAGGTGCCTCAGAGTTCTGCGAAGGGAGCTCGTGGGTCTAGAATCTCGACCTCTAGGAGGGACACCTGACTGGCTGGTACTAGTGTCTCTCTGATGGGGTGCTGTGAATCAAGTTCTGTAAGTGTTGGAAAACTGCAGCTGGAATTGGCTTACTGAGATGAATTGCCACTGCCAGAGTAAAGAAACATTACCCTGGGACACTGCTGTTAGCAGGGGCGTTGCTGGCAGAAACTGGAAGCTAGCAGGGAGTGTCTCTTACTTCTCCAGCCTTACAGTCTTTCTCTCTAGTGCCTTCTTTGGTAGAGACTACTAGGGAGCCAGCTGGCAGAGGAGAAATGTGGTTATAGAGTCCTAGCCCAGTGTCATAGAACAGTCTAGAAGGGTTGGTTTGAAACTGAGAGATAATAGCCTAATAACCCAGCACAGTGCACAATATGTTGAGATAATGAGTAGGAGGTTGCTTCATATGAATATTATAATCTCATTATTCCAGTCATTCAGTGAGGACCCTAAAATGTCATATTTGGGGGGATAAAAAAGTGTTCTAAAGCACACTTCTCTCCAGTTAAATATTTGTTTCATTTCATATAGCTTTAATTAAACATGAAACACCAGTCTGAGCAAAATACATTTTTTCTTGACCCAGATACTATTGACACTATTAAGATTAGTTGACACTATCAAAAAATGTATTAAACTATTAGGAGCGGGTCAGGAGCCTCTAAAAAATGGACAGTATCCTAAGGAAATGATGCCCACATGCCCCATTACGACTGTTGGAGGACAGCAGTTTAATTTTTTGCTAAAAAATAATTAAGATGAGCAAGCACTACTGTCTCTTTTATCTGTCTATCTTCTATGATGTGCTGTTATGCTAAGGAGATTAAGTTTATTCAGATGTCTTTATCCTCTTTGGGATTGGGTATGGAGAGATTGGAAAGTTATGTTTACCCTGCATGATTAAAATGTTAGACAAATCACTAAATATAGTGGTTAATTAGCTGGAAAATGTCAGCTCTTAGGTGATGAAGTACATTTGGAGGGCTAAAACTTTTTTTTAAAATTTATTTATTTTATTTATTTTTGGCTGCATTGGGTCTTCATTGATGTGTTGGCTTTCTCCAGTTGGGGCGAGCAGGGGCTACCCTTCGTTGCTGTGCGCAGGCTTCTCATTGCGGTGCTTCTCTTGCTTCAGAGCACCGGCTCTAGGTGCGCAGGCTTAGTAGCTGTGGCGAGTGGGCTCAGTAGTTGTGGCTTGCGGGCTCTAGAGTGCAGGCTCAGTAGTTGTGGCACACGGGCTTAGTTGCTCCGAGGCATGTGGGATCTTCCCAGACCAGGGATCGAACCCATGTCCCCTGCACTGGCAGGCGGATTCTTAACCACTGTGCCACCAGGGAAGCCCAAGGCTAAAACTCTTGACTCCTGAGACTTCCCTGGTGGCACATTGGTTAAGAATCCGCCTGCCAGTGCAGGGGACATGGGTTTGATCCCTGGTTGGGGAAGATCCCACATGCCGCCGAGCAACTAAGCCTGTGCGCCACAGCTACTGAGCCTGTGTGCCACAACTAATGAAGCCCGCGCACCTAGAGCCTGTGCTCCACAGCAAGAGAAGCCACCGCAACAAGAAGCCCGCGCACCGCAACGAAGAGTAGCCCCTGCTCGCCGCAACTAGAGAAAGCCCGCGCGCAGCAATGAAGACCCAATACAGCCGAAAGTAAAAAAACAAAACAAAACAAAAACTCTTTACTCCTTATTCAGGATCTCAACTTTGATCTAATTTCCCTAGTTTGAGTTCCTTTTTTTTTTTTAATTTCACAATTAGTATCTTTGTTTCAGACTAAACAGAGGTTTTTTCATTTTAGGTAATAATCATTGTAAGCATGTCATTTTAGCTTTCAAGTGATTTATTAAATTATCTAAAGTTTTTGGTTTTTCTTGTCCCTTAGGTGGCTTTCTTTCAGATGCAGGCTGGTACAGTGATGCTGAGAAAGTTTTCCTGTCTTGCCTTCAGTTGTGTACTCTACATGATGAGATGCTTCATTGGTTTCGTGCAGTAGAATGTTGTGTGAGGTAAGTTGGAACAGTCCTTTAGTTACATGCTGTAATGGTATTAGTGGCTTTTTTTAAAAAAATTATTTATTTATTTTAGACTGTGTTGGGTCTTTGTTGCCGCATGCAAGCTTTCTCTAGTGCAGTGAGCGGGAGCTACTCTTCGTTGTGGTGTGTGGGCTTCTCCTTGCGGCGGCTTCTCTTGTTGTGGAGCATGGGCCTCAGTAGTTGTGGCGTGCGAGCTCAGTTGTGGCACACGGGTTTAGTTGCTCCGTGGCATGTGGGATCTTCCTGGACCAGGGATCAAACCATTGTCCCCTGCATTGGCAGGCAGATTCTTGACCACTGTGCCACGAAGGAAGTCCCTTCTTGGGTTTTATGTGTGTGTGTGTGTTTTGTTTTGTTTTGTTTTGTTTTTACTGTGCTCCGTTTACATTTCTGGAATTGTACATAACCTGATTAATATTTTACTATTTTACTTCTAAATAATTTTTTTTTTAAAAAATCTTCATTTATTATTTATTTGGCTGCACGGGGTCTTAGCTGCGGCACGCGGGAATCTTCGTTGCTGCTTGCGGGATCTTCGTTGAGGTGTGTGGGATCTTTAGTTGTGGGATCTTTTGTTTTTAGTTGCGGCATGTGGGATCTAGTTCCCTGACCAGGGATCGAACCTGGGCCCCCTGCATTGGGAGCGTGGAGTCTTAACCACTGGACCACCAGGGAAGTCCCTAACCTTTCTTTTTTTTTTGATGTGGACAATTTTTTTTAAAGTCTTTATTGAATTTGTTACAGCATTGCTTATGTTTTGGATTTTTGGCTGCGAGGCACCTGGGTCTTAGCTCCCTGACCAGGGATTGAACCCACACCCCTGCATTAGAAGGTGAAGTCTTAACCACTGGACAGCCAGCGAAGTCCCCCTAACCTTTCTTTAAAATACATTTTTTAACAGATGTACTTAAATGAAAGGCAAGCAAATCCAGAAGCAACTCTTTGATTTTACTGTCTTTATTATTTTTGTATATGTAACATTTAGTTTTAGCTATTTTCATGTAGGTTTTCTCTCTGTCCCCCCCATTTGATTTGACATTTCTTAAAAAGAATTTTTATATGAAACTAAAGGGAAATCAAAATAAAGTTTAAAAAGTAACAAAATAATTCTTTGTCCTAAGTTAACTAGAGTCTGGTCAGTTACTGAATTGATAGTCTTCTATTTTTTTTGAATAAGGGGTCATATTTTTTTTGTACCTTAGAGATGAGTTAATTAAATCTGCACCTCTTCAGAACTAGAATACAGGTTCTTCTATATAAAACCATTGTTGATTTATGCTACCATTGACTAAAGCTCTCTCTGCTCAATCTTTTGAGGCTATTACCCCGTTTTATACAGGGCTTACCTGTGTTAGACAAACATTCAAATCCTGAAGTTAATTTTATAATGTGCAAACTTAATTATAAATAATATTTTAGGAGCTTAGGATAATTTCCCACAGATATTTATGATAAATTATGGTAATACTTGTGTGCAGAAACTATAAAAGGGTTGTTATTGGGCCTGTAATTTGTAGTACTGATAATCTGTGTCATCTTTCCTCCCCACTTCTGCCTGTCCTAGGAATAGAAGACTGGACTATCTCATAGGGATTTTAGGGTCTAGCTAAATGTCTCTGTGTATGAACTAGTTAATTTAGAACAGAAAACCCATTTTGTATGATTTCATTGTAGATTGCTCTTTCACTGCAAGCAGTCTTTTGACCAAAAGGTAAAACATTTTCTTCTTGTAAGTGCTTGCTTTCTATGCACAAAGTCAGAAGATTTATTCCATCCAGATAACTAACATTTCTCCTATCTGTCTGATTTTAAGGCTCTTATATAAATTTTGCATTAATATAACCAAAAGATTTAGTTTTCTCAAAGAACCAGGGCTCCTCTTCTTTTTCCTATCTTGTCATCTTTAGCATGTAGCTCACGTCATTATGTTTGCAAATGCTACAGGCAAGGAGAAGGGCAAAGGGCTCATGCCCGCTGAGTCTGCTTCCTTTTCCTTTTTTTTTTTTTTTCCAGTCAGAAAAAATAGCTTTCCCAGAGGCCTAGCCTTATCTTCTTTACTTATTACCTCTCTTTGAAACTGGGAAACTGGGACACATTCTGCACATCCTCCAACCAGTGTAAGGTGGTCTGGAGAGCAAAACGTTTTTAACTGTGCATTTTGCTGCCCCAAATGAACTCATGGGTCTACATTAAGGAAGGAGGAGAGGGGAATATTGGACAGGTAACTGTAAATACTGTGAGTGCTCGGGCTGTTTTCAGAACAAGCACATGTGAATAGGAAAATACCTGTGCCAAGAAACAAAGCTATTTATACCCGCTTACTGCCTGTATACCTAGACATCTTGTTCTTAAGAATTTTAAATTTCAAAATAAAATTTGCTTCTACACGGCTTTGCTTGCTAAATTCTTGGCCATTACAGCCGTTAAGATAATTTTTATTATTATAGTAGTATTTTTTGAAAAAAATTAAATTATTCTTACTTAGCTTTTAACTGATTTGGGAGAGGATTATTTTGGAGAACAGATACTAATGAAATCCTTTAGCCAATCCCAGGAGCTTTGAGCCTAATGTGACAGTGTGTTTTTAACTTTAATAGCACAAAACCATTTTCTAATCTGGGGCTGGCATGGAAGCAGTATAGAGCAAATGTCAGAGACTCTGCTTGTTAAACCTGGTACCATTTCTCAGTCTTTGTTTTATTCCTTGAAGACTCTGCCTAGTTTCGTTTACTTTACTTGCTTTCTATTTAATAGCTTTGTTTGTTCTGCTCATGTGCGTGTCTATTACCAAACAAATTGAAAACATACAGAAAACTATGAAGAAGAAAATAAATATTATCTGTAACCCTGCTGCCTAGAAATAACCACAATTATTATTTTGGTGTATTTTGGGGATTTTAAGTGAAAAATGGAACTTCCTGAACTGGAGGGAAAAGACTTGAATCTAGATTGAAAAAGAACCTTGAGCCCGAAGCAGGTGAATTTCTTGAAATCCAAGGATAAATAGGAGTTAGAAGCTAAGAGAGAAGAGCAGTATCTCAATTACTGAGAAAATACTACACTTCACAAACTTTTAGGATAAAATTCAAATTTTTCAAATTTGTAGATACCAAATATACCTCCAGGTACTTTATCTGAGGAAAATAGTCAAGGAATATCTCTGACCAAATAAAAGTTCACTAGTAACAAATCTCACGACAGGGGAAGATGGTGTAGAAACAGTGGTAAGCAGTGAATATTGTAATATATAGTTAGACATAATGGAGTGGAAAGAATGAAGAACAAATGGTGAATTTGTAATATGTCTTATGTAAGGATTTTTTTTCAAACTGGAAATGAAAGGGAAATTTTAGAAATACCAAGACAGAAATTCTCAGTTACCACATACTGTTAAATGTAAGATAAGTTTGTTTGTGTTTTTTCCACCTGAAAATTGAAAAAATAGTTGCCTTACAAAATCCCTCATGTTATGTGATGTTCTTTCAAGTCTCTTGTTTTGAACAACAAAGTACTCTTTGGGAAAGAAATGTTAGCCTGAAACTCAGCCAGTGCCAATACCAGGAAGCTCATAGAGTTCACCTGGCAGAATTTTCTTTTTACGGAAGTAATGGAATTTAACATAATTTAACACAAAATTTAGAATTATTCTAGGGGTCATAACCTTATAGTTGTGTTAGATATCTTTATTAACTGGCTTCTTGAATATTACTTTGAAATGTGATGCATTAAGTGGTTTGGTTGTGGAGATTATGGGTGTCTACTTATCTTAGGTGGAATGGGAAAGCCCAACTGTCTTAATGCTTTGCAAATGGTTGCTGGTACCTTTGGATAACGTTTCTAGGGACATGATACCAGACTCAAAAGTGCTGATTTTCAAGCAAGTGAAAATGTTTTACTCTGAAAAACTGTTAGATGACTCAGAAGTAGTTTGGTGATTATGAAGATAAATGTTTTAAGATGCATGTGAATAGTTTGGGTAACGTAACATTTCATAAATTACAAGAAGGAGAATTTTTGAAAATTTAGTTTAGATTTTAAATATGTATTTATAACATAACATAAAGATGATTTAAATATTATAAATTTCAAAATGTTATCATATATATCCCTAAAACCTGATGTATTCAAGTTAGCAAAAAACCTTTTTGGATGGAAAATTGAGGCTCATGTTATTATGTTCAGGTTGCTTGCTGTTGGGCATATATTATATAATAGCCTATTTTAAAAATAAACATTTGGGAAAATGTAGTAGTATAAGAAAGTATTATAAAGGTCTCATCTTGGTAAGGGGAATATGAATGCCTATCATTTAATGTTCAAACATTGTCATTGCTAGGGAGGGGTATATAATAAATTGACTAATGGAAAAATACGATAGACGTTCCAAATTAGAATAGTGGGAATAGGGGTAAGAATGATTGGAAACTTGTCCAAGGTAGATAGATAAGCAAAGAGAATAGAGGAAATAACTAAGTATGATAACTGAAAAATGTGAAACAATTAAAACCAAATACAACTATGACCATGTAAATGGGCTCAATTCCCCTATCTAGAAACAGCGACTGCCAAGAAGGTTAAAAAATGAAACCCAGGGACTTCCCTGGTGGTCCAGTGGTTAAGAATCTGCCTTCCAATGCAGGGGACGTGGGTTCTATCCCTGGTCGGGGAACTAAGATCCCACATGCCACGGGGCAGCTAAGCCCACATTCCTCAACTAGAGAGCCCGTGTGCTGCAAACTACAGAGCCCGCATGCTCTGGAGCCCATGCACTGCAAACAAAAGATCCCACATGCTGCAAGGCAGATCCCACAACTAAGACCCGACGTAGCCAAAAATTTAAAAATAAAACAATTCTTTAAAAATAATAATAATAAAATAAATAAAAAATGAAACCCAGCTATATATTGTTAAAAGAAAATACCCCTAGACAATAATATTAACAATAAAAGCAGAATTCAGGATAAAAACCATTA